ATAGATGCTGTGGAGTCTCCTGCTCTGGAGAGATCCCAAACCCACCTGGATGTGACCTTGGGCACCCTGCTGTGGGTGCTGTCCCTGCTTTGCTGGGAGAGTTGGATGAGATGATCTCCAGAGGTCCTTCCCAGCCCCACCATGCTGGGATTCTGGGGTTCTATGAACTTGGCTCCTTGCTGCAAACTTGTCCTGGTCCCCACAGTGTAGGGCCACCCATGCTGAAGGCTCTCCCTTGTGTCCCAGTGAGCTTCCACTGCTGGCCCAGGGGATGTTGTTTTTCCCCTCTGGGCTGGTGCTGAGTAACACCTCTGTTCAGACTGAGTTTTGAGCAGGGGCAGGAGAAATCCTGCGTTTATCTTAAAATGGGAGAATTAGACAGCTGTCAGGGAACTAAAAAAAAGACCTTAATCTTTGGAAGTACATCCTTTGCCATGCCTGGGATGTCACCAGCCACCACCAGACCTGGGGGGGCAGCTCAGTGGAGCCAGTGCACGGGAAACAAAAGTGAGCCTTAGGGAGAGAACACTTATTTCACCAGAGCAGGAGAAAATGCCTGAGCATGGGGCCAGTAGGGTGGGGTGCTCCCCTCTGCCCTCTCTGGGCAGCCCTGCAGGGCTTGCACCTTGCTCCTCACTGATGCCATGTGACACCTAGCCCTGGCAGCAGGGCTGTGGTGGGGGCAGTGGAGCAGCCCTGGGATCCAAAACAGAAACACTGCTCATATCTCTACTGCTTCAAAATATCATCTCCAGTGGCCATGCACACCACGTCCCTGCAGCCCCTGGGCTCCCACGGGCCCCATTCCCCCCAGGCTCTGCAAGGCAAAGATCTCCCCAGGCCCCTGGGAGGTGCTACATTTGAATTGAGGGTCAGCATCTCACCACCATTGCAGTCAGGTGTTAAAGCTTTTTTTTTTCCCTTTTTCAATATTGTTTAGCATGATTTGTGCTTCAGATATGCTCTGAACAACTTGCCCATCAATTGAAGATGTTATTAAATTAATGTTTTTCATGAGGGCAAGCCTTGAATTTGGCATTGAGTGTAGCTTAGAAGAAAATGATTTTTAGTATACACGTAGAACACCTCCTGTTTAATTAGTGTTGAATATGTAATGCTATGTAAATTACCTGCAAAAATCTGCAGGTTTTAGTTGATCTAATTAGGTAAGTCACAGCTTCTAAACAGAAGTTACAGGTTTGGATATAAGTAACATATATAGATGTATTTATCCAGATAGATAAATATATATAAAATAGTCTAGTGTAGGTGTAGCTGCAGGTGTTTGAAAGGTGAATCCCACATGTGAAATAAATCATGTGTATAGTGTAGCCAGAAAGAGAGAGAGAAAACATTCTCTTGTGATGCTTAGCCAGCATAATTTGTAATAAAATCAGAAAATATTTATTGAAATTATTCCCCAAGAACTGACCTTCTGCTTTCATGGCATTGCACATGCAGTCCTCAGGGCAGTGATCTGGAGTGGACTGATATTTATCAGTCCTGTAGTAATACAGAACAGAATTAAGGGGTTTTCATATTTTTGGAGATCCTGAGGAATTTGAGGAAGCTGACCACAGGTGAAGTGATGCTGGAGCTTCAGGTAGCAACCTATAAAGTTGTGCACTAGCTTCGTGGACATTTAATTTTGTGTGATCTGATGTTTCCTGGTCCTGTGCACGTTTTACTGGTCTCTGGGAACTGGCCACACTGGTGGAAATCCCCCCGTGTGCTGGTCTCAGCAGTGGCACCTCTGCAGCTGCCTCAGCAGCCACCCTGCCTGGGGCAGCCTCAGGGTCTGCAGCAGCCAGCAGCAGAGGCAGTGGGCTGCTGGTCACTGCTCTGAGCACCTTCACAGCTGGGGGGCGTCCAGGTTTGTGTTGCTGAATAACAACGAGAGTTCAAAAATTTGCCACATGATGGCACCAAAAATGAAGAGGAGAAGAGTTGTTCCTGGCTCAGCAGGGTGGCTGAGCAGTGCTGGGAGCAGTGGGGCTGGGAACAGCCCAGGAGGGTGCTGCTGGGTGGCAGCTGTGGCTCTGGGGAGGTGGCATCAGAGTGGTTTGGGTGGGAAGGGACCTGTCAGGGGCACCCAGTCCAACCCCCTGCAGGGAGCAGAGACATCTGCAGCTAGAGCAGGGTGCTCAGAGCCCTGGCCACCCTCACCTGGGAGGGTGCCAGGGATGGGGCAGCGACCACCTCTCTGGGCAGCCTGGGCCAGGGGCTCACCACCCTCAGTGTCCAAAATTTCTTCCTTCTGTCTTTTCTAACTCTCCCCTCTTTTAGTTTCAACCCATCACCCCTCATCCTGTCACGACAGGCCCTGCCAAGAGCCGTTCCCATCTTCCCTGTAGGCCCCCCTGAAGCACTGGCGGGCCACAGCAACACCTCCCTGGAGCCTTCTCTTC